CTGACACAAACTAATAGGGAGGGCTTGGGGCTAATGACACAAAGTTCTCTCCACTGCCCCACAACTTTTTTAGGTGTGATTGAGCTACTGCTGGCCACCCCAATTCAGAAGAAAAAGTCCACTGTCAGCACTAGCCCCCTTTGGTCACATCAGGTCCATCACACATTTTTCTAGCCTGCAAGTAAAATAACATCATCACACAGAAAAAAAATCACGAGTAAAAATACTTCATTTCTGGAAAACGTAATGGATATAAAGATGACACCTGCAAATGGCACATTTTCTGGAAAGTCCAAGTGCTCAGTGAATGATGAATTTTTCTGACACAGCCCCTTAGCAATCCCCTCTCCTTTGCTCACTCATTTCTGTGGAGACAGCTTCAGCTGCTGGGGTTTTAAATACTTCTGGCTATATTCTTCACAATATCCTTTAGTATGGTAGTTAATCTCCTGTGTCAAAACACATTTTTAGCCATCTGCCAGACAAAAAGGAAATCCTCAAGATCAGAGCCTTTGACACACGGAACATCACTCCTTTTTGGATGCTTTATGACAAAGTTCAAGTGCTGATCAGTGAAACTACAGCATCAGAAGCAAATAAATCAAAGAGAATGAACAAAAGTAAGGTAAGTCCCTGGGTTTATGTACATGGCACACTGCTGAATGGCACTCCAGTCTGTGCAAGCCTGACCACTAAAAAGGCAAGCTGAAGACTACCCTCTGCCCAAGACAAAGAGTGTCTCCTACACAATCCTCTCCTGCTGTAATATATATATAAATGCATATAAACGCCAGATTCCATCTGCTTCCTCTTGTGTAATCCAGGGTGGGATCTTCACCTGATAGACAATGTAACAAAAAAGGAAAGAAACAGGGGAGCAGAGAAATACTGTGAGGTCAACTCCTTTAATCCACAGTACCCAGTCCAGGATGAGGCAGAACTCTTAAAAAAGTGACAGAACGTCTCCTTTGGAGAATTTCTACAGAGTAGCTGAAAAGCTTATTTAGCAAATTAGCACTGTTCCCCCTGCTTGCAAAACCTGCATGAAGCCAAGGGCTAGCAAATGGCAGCCTTCCTCCTGAAACAGAGAAATAGCTCTGCAAAGCTGATACACATGAGATGCATCCCGTGCAACACGGGAGTGCAGCCCATCCGTCACTTTGCTCAGGCACGCTGCTGACACATCATTTTCCTTATGTGCACATCTTACTCTTCACCAGCACCTACAACCCATCTGGTAACACACCACATCCCTATCCATCACTTCAGCCATGTTCTCTCTTCTGGGAAAAAGGACATGTTTTGTTTTACTAGCTTGTTTCTTTTTCATGCAAATGTTGTTCTCAGTTTGTATTATGAGCAAACAAGCAATAAGCCTTGCACCTGGAGTGAAAGACGCCTAGTTTGGGAGGAAATTACTAAAGACTTCATGCACTTAGCTGGCTATTAGACCTTAAGAACTCCCCCCCCCAAAAAAAATTAAGTGATAAACTGCATTAATTGTTAAAAAAAAATACAACGCCAAACTCCACACTCAGTAAAGAAGGCAGATTTACCATAATGCCTCAACAATCTAAGGGAGCCATTTACTTTGACAGAACCTGAATTCCCCAAGCAATTCAGCAGTGGTAATGGAAACAGAGGAGCCAATAAATTATAACCTTGTGAGTAATGTGCCTACCATTATAAACCACTCTTAGCCTCCTGTCTATTCCCAGAGCAGGGTGGGGGGGGCACACAGTTGTTGGATTTCCTTTCCTTCACTCTTCCAGTGGGCTCTTTCAGCAGCTGGACCCTTTTATAGTGTCTAATACCATACTCTGCATTTAAACAGCTTTAATGTGAGTATCTCAAAATATGCAATACCATTTAGAACAAGACTGTTGTTTTTTACAGGCTGAAACAGAGGCACTGGGTCACACTACTGTATATTGATAGGATCCCAAATATTGTTCAATCATATATTAGTAGGTACACAGCACTCCCACATACTGAAAATGTGTACCACGTATCTCCAAACACCTACAGTATTTCAGGAGTGTTTCTGAAGAATGGTGTTGGACAACTTTAGAAACAGCACCAGTGCCAGTTCACCCCCAGCTCAGCCCCTCTTACACTGGCTTTCAGCAGTCTGTACAGACCAAGTCTGTGACAAACTATGAGAAAAGAAAGGCCAGAGACCCAATAAAAAAACACAAACCCCACAGAGTTTTGCCCAAGAGATAAACAACATGTGTTGATTTCAGAAAATAGCATCTATGCAAAGATTTCTCCAAAGTATAAGGTGCAGAAGCAAAATACAGGCATGATAGCAACACAGAGGCTGACCCTGCTCTGTCTTCTAAGGTTAATTAAAACTCCCACAGAAACAGATCCCTGGTGTGATTCTAACACACTGGTCCAAGGATCTGGGCAAGATTGAAGTCTGATAGAAGTGACCTTGGCTCTCTGCCATTACACTTCACAATCAGCGTTTTCCTTCCTAACCAAAAAGCTCGTAATGGTACGTCCTATTTCATATACTGCATTATCTAAAATGAAAGGTAATAATTAGCAAAGTAGTGCAATTTGCATTTAAGCCCCAGGCAGCAAATCTACAGCAATTTCTGAAATATATATATATCACAAAGAATCACTTCTGCTTTCTTCAAGGCAGCTGAGCTGTCAAAGACCAACGCAAGAGAGAAAGGGATGTAATTTTTCTCTTCCGTATCAGCCTCAAAAAGCTTGATTCCAGCCTGGATTGTACCATCTATTGTTTAGTACAGAGAGAGGTTCTGCACTCTCGTCTCCAGGACTGCTCAGCAATCAGCTGTATCAGCAGCTCCAAGGAGGATTATTCTCCCCTGCTGCTTTTTTTAAAAGCAGATTAGTTCAGACTTTCTTTCACTGTAATGAACCTTGTAAGGATCAAGCACATTGCATTGATTTCCAGGATAAAATTGTGCCATCAGTCAAAAGGCCAAGCAAACACTTCCACAGACCCAGTCTGTCCCAGCAGACCCACTGCTCCAGAATTACCCATTAACCCCAGCAAGGGGAAAAGAACAACACAGTTGTTAACCATAATAGCCAAAATGTGATTCTCAAGTCGTGTCATTTTGCTTTCTGTCAAATTCAGATAGGTAACAAGCCTCACAGAAATTGACAACAGAACAGCCAACCCTCACCAAAGTGCTATGCAATCAAAGACAGAAAATTATAAAATGCAATGTGTTTTTATTTACTACATGATATCTGCAATAATGGCTAGGGAGGCAACTTTTTAAAAGACTGACAATTTATGGTAAAATAACAAAAACTCAATTTCCCTAAAAATTTACAAATTCCTTTCCCCATCAGGAATTTTATTACATGTGCACCCCACTGTAATATGCAAGCTTGACTAGGACTTAAAGATTTGATAACCAGAGATTCTCTTGTTGAATGGTCACAAAAGCCAAGTGAGGGTGCAAGACTCTGCCCCTCCAACACAAACACTGCAGGTGTAATCAGCAGACCCTGCCTCCCACAAGAGACACCTGCCTGGACTTCAAACCAGACCATGGGATATTGTACTTTACCTAATGAACGCAAACTTCCCTTTCTATAATGCTGAAACTAAGACGACAGGAGCTGTCTGCTGTGACAAAGCTACAGCACTAAGCTTAGTTGGAAAACAAGGAAAAAAAGCAGAAGGCAGAATTCCATTGCCTTTCTTCTTTAAATTGGACATGTCATTATTAGGTATCTGAAACTCATTGAAGACTATGGCTCAATAATAAAAAATCTACCCTTCCAGAAATGCTGCCTAGCATATTTCAATTCCAACTGCAGGTCAGAATTTTACAGAACAATGTGTGGCATTTGCCATAATTTCCTGCAGGGAAAACTTTAAAACAGCAATACAGGTCTACTCCTTTTTTTCAGGGAAAAAAAAAAAGTAGAAAAATAATTAATTGAAAGATTTACTATAGCAATACAACTTCACAAGGAATCTCTACACTGACCTTTTAAAATCAAAATCCTGTACACTAAACTCCACCTCAACTGGATTTTGTAAAAGATCAAAGACAATTAAACATATCCAGTGTATATGACATTAAAAGTGAGATTAAGTTCACAGTTTTAAGACTGTCTCCATTCCTAAGTCTCCTGAAGAGGTCTAATAGTAAATTTTATCATATCGCATGAAAGGGCAATACAGAACAGTGAAAGGAACTGTTCTTGTCCCCTCCGAGCCAATGAAACCCTTGTCATGGACTTTAAAGGGCGCAAGATGGGGCACTCGATTGAAGAGTTCAACAAATAAACGCACACGCTGCAGCACTCGCCTTCGATAAATCACACACCTTATACATAAAAATGAAATTACGCTCCTTTGAGAGGGGAAGCTTCAGCTTCAAACCCCGCTCCGTTCCGCCTGTCAGGAGGGCTCTGTGGGGTTGTAACAGCACCGGCAGCGCCCGGAGAGCGGAGGGGAGAATTCCGGGCTTGGAGGAACACGCCGGGCTCGGACCGGCCGAGCGATCCCAGAGACTTCGCCCCGCAGGCAGGGCGAGGGTGGGAGCCGCTCCTGCCCGCACCTGACAGGCACCCGGCGCAGCGCGACACGCCGGCTAAAAGCGCTTTCGAGGCACTCTGTGGTTCACAACTCCGCGTCCGGCTCTCCTACACCGGGGGCGGCCCCGGGGCCCGCCGGCGCAGCAGCTGCCCCACGGCGGTGTAAACCCACCCAAAGAGGGGTGTCCTTCCCGGGGCGGTCCCGGCCGCTCCCGCCGCCCGCGGCCGCCCAGAGTACTTTGATGACATCCCCGTCCGAGCGTCCCATCGCTAGATCGGGGGATCTCCCACAACACTGGCCACAAGCGCGGGGCAGGCGCACGCCGGTGCCCGCGGGCACACACCCTCCGCCGCCCGCGGGACGTCCCGCCGCCAAACCGGGGCCGCCCGGCGCTCCGCGGGGACGCGCGCTCGCCCGGCCGCGCTCCCGGCCCGCCCGCCCCCGGCCCGGCACCCACCTTTCCCAGCAGGGCGCTGCGGCTGGCGGCCGCCAGTTCCCGCAGGCTGGCGGCGGCCGAGGCGGCGGCGGCGGCGACGGCGCTGGGGGCGGCGGCGGGCTGGGGGTACGTGGGGGCCGCGGAGCTGGGGCTGCCGCTGGCGCCCCCGGCGGCGCGGGGCCGCTGCCGGATGCCGTCCAGGAGGCGGACGAGGAGGATGTTGGCGGGCAGCTCGTCCACGCCGCAGCCCACCAGGATGCGGCACTCGGGGCAGCGCAGCTCGTGGCGGGAGCTAACGATGCTCTCCAGACAACGGCGGCAGAAGGTGTGCTGGCACGGCAGCACCTTGGCCGTGGTGTCCAGACGCTCCAGGCACACGGAGCACTCCAGAAGATCCAGCAGCGACGACTCGTCCATCGCCGCCGCCGGCTCCCGCTCCGCCGGCGTTCCACCGCCGCTCCGCCGCCCCCTCGCCTCCGCCTCCGCCCCCGCCCCGCCGCCGCCGCCTCCGCCTCCCCTCCGCGGGGCAGCGCAGGGCCCCGACGCCCCTAGGGCCGCCGCGGCCGGCGGCGGCGAGGGAGGGGCGGCGGCGGGGCGGCGGGGGCCATCGGGGCGGCGGGGCTGTCCCCGGCGGCGGGCGGCGGCGACCTCGGGGGCTGCCCGGGCGGCGCTGCCCAGCGCCGTGCGGCGCGGCGGCGCTGCCTGCGGCGGGGAGCGCAGCGCTTCGGGAGGAGGGCACCTGTCTGCCCGCGCCTCCTCCCGCCGCCCGGCGCGGCTCGGCAGCTACGGCGGGGCCCGGCGAGGCGCCCGCCGCGCCTCCGCGCGGGGCGGGGAGCGGCGGGGAGCCCCGGGGGGGCGCCCGCAGCACGGCGGCCGCCCCGCAGGCGGTCCCCGCCTGCCTCGCCGCCGCTCCGTGGCTCCCTGTAACCCGACCCAGCAGGGCTCGCCGCCCGCTTGCTGCCGCTACTCCCTCCTCCTTCTCCTCCCGGCGGAGGCTCCCGGGGACAGGCGGATGAGACCCTTCGGGGAAGCCAGCGGCACCCAGGCGAGGGCGGAGGGGAGCCCCTGCGGGCCCGGCGCCCCGCGGAGAGCGGTCCCGGTGGCGGCCGGGCGGGCAGGGCCGGCGGGCACGGCAGCCCCGCGGGGAGCCGCGCTCGGCCCGCGGGCCCCGCCATCCCTGGCGGCGCGGCGCCCCCTGGCGGGCGCGGCTAGGGACGGCGCGGGGCCGCAACCCGTCACCCCCGGTGCCCCAGGGCGTCTCCAAATAATTGTAATTTAATTGTTAAAGTATCGTAGCCAACCCTCAGGGGGCCGAAAGGGGGAAAATAAGAGCGGGGGTCGCGCCTTCTCTTCCTGCCGGGTGTCCTGTGCTCCAGCCAGCTGCCCGCTCGGCTACCGTCCAGTCTGTCACGGTACCCAGGCTGCCGCAAGATGTGCCCGGGTCCTGTGTGAGCTGGTGGTCAGTCCCTGCGGTAAGGGGAGAGTTTTAAACTATAAATAATAATGATTCCTGGAGAAATGTGGAACACAGGATCAAGGACTTTGACTTTCTCTGGAGTAAAACTGTTAATTTAAGAAAAAGAAACAGTGGAGAACATTTAATGATAAAAAGCATTGTTTCAGCAAAGAGAGAGAAATATTGGAAAGTCTGCAATGAAATGTATAAGGACCTTATATTGTTTCCTTCAGAGGTGAAAACTTAAATATCACTGTCAAAACATAAAAGCCAAAAGTGCTGTGTTACATACCAGAATACCTCCAGTGATTAGAGGGGCATTTTTCATCCCTCCTTCCTTCTGGTTGCTCCAGAGTTTACAGCCAAACTAGCCAGCCACCAGAGCTGCCCAGTTACAGCTCCAGAGCAGCCCCTCCAGCACTCTGGAGAGCCAGGACCCAAAGGTGATCAGAGGGTGCCTTGATATTGGGGTGGCTTAAAATACCTGCAGATGAGCAAAACAGTTATTATTTAATAGAAGAAATTGCTGATGCACTTAAAATGAGAATCTGCTGTAATCCACTGGGAAAGTGCCCTCTTAAACAGGAGCTGTGTGCCATCACAGAAGCAGAAGCAAAGCTACATCCCCTGCAGGGAGAGGAGGTCAGGGAGCTCTCCAACCACCCCAGAGGACTGCAAGTGAGGGAAGGAATTGATGAGGGACACTAAGGAGGATGGAGGAAATGGAGAACCAGAGAAGGATTGAGAAAAGTGGACATGAGATGAACAAGAAGTAAGGAAAAAGGAAGGGAGGCAAAGATTAGGAGAGTGAAAGGTTTATACAGAAATGGCACAAATGACTAGAGACAATAAAAGCACATTTTTATGAAAGGAGGAAGAGACTTGCAAGTTGGACTCCAACTAGAAAAAACACCTCCTATTTCTTTGATGTCAGGAGAAGTATTTTCAGACTTACAAGTTTAGTGTGTGTTTGTTTGCCTCTCTATACCTGGGACTTAGTGGAAGTTAGGCCAGGCCAGGCCTAAAGGAAATGAAAGAAATAAAATCACCACACATACTTTTTTTCTTCTTGCCAAAGAGACCATGGGAAAAATTGCTTTATATATTAGGAAATTAAATACTCAGAGTATTAAGTTTAGAAATAGAAAAAAGATTAAACTCTCAGAAGCCTGAGATAAAACACATGGAAAAAAAAGAAGATAAAGATGTAACAGGTTTACTTTAAACAAATGTGGATTTTATTAATTTCCCTGTCTCAGCTGCCAAAAATCTAGCTACAGATTATAAGTGTGAAGTGATTATTTGTGAACTAATTAAGTAATGTGATTAACACGGTTCTCAAGCAGAGGTGCTGCTTTACACACAGGGATGTAGCTGCCCACTTTGCCACACATTCCTTGGTGAATGTGTTTGACAAGGCAGCTGATAAGCAACTGGTGTTTCAGGCTGTGGAAGTGGCTTCACTCCCATGGTGGATGTAAAGAATGATGAGTACCTGGAGACAAGAAGAGATTCAAAAAAGCAAAATACTGTTTCAGGAGAGTAGAGTGATGCTGAAGCATTCAAAGACTTCATTTGTAGTTGTCCTTAAATTAATATGTACTAGGTATTACTTCGTGTCTCAATTCAAAATTTAAAAAGGGTGTTCTGCTTTGCTTTCTTGGTTCTTTTCCCTGCATGATCTCTCTTGCTATTTAGTTCAGGATCAGGAGAGACTTGACAGATTTTGCTGTCTGCAGCTATATCTATGTTGGTTTTGAAGGCATTTTCTCAGGACAGCAAATGAACATTGCACCTTCAGCATTGCCTTCATGTATTTGCATGCTGCTTTTGAAAATGCCCAATGCTTTTGCAGTCTTCTGCCAAATGGGATTTGATTATACAGAAATCATTCTCAATTCTTGCTTGTATGCTTGCTCTGCTTTTAAGAGTCTACAGCACAATAACTATTCAGTTTGCATAGTGAGGGAACATTTGCCTACTAAATAAGAATGAGTTGCTCTATTTTTATGGTTCTTCCTAAACCTGGAAAGCATTATACGAATGATAGGCATTATTATTTTAGATTATTCAATGTGATTAAACTTATGGTGGAATTCTCAGCAGTTACTAGTGCATTTTCTCTATATGTTTAAATGATCATTCAGTTATACTTACATTACTTACTTTATTTACATTTAGATTCAAAAAATTAAAGCATTCTTGGATTTCTGAAGTGAGTTATATTAATACCAAACAGGGGGAAAGAAGGGGACTTGTCAGCTCTGCCTTTTCCTCCTTTTATTTGACCTAAACAATCAGGTATATCTAACAAAAAATACCAAATTTTAGACCATGGTAATAATACTGCAAAATAGACAAATTTGATTATGGGATCTTCTCTTTGCTTCTTTTACTGGAGATAAGATTTTTGATCAAGATCAGCTGATCTTTCTGTCCATCCATCCATCCATCCATCCATGTACATATACCTGTACATTGCCCTCCAATATAGAAACCTAGCAATAAAGTCCATAAAAAGTTTTTTCTTATACATGGAGAGGGTAACCTGGCAAAAACCAGTCTGTACAGAACTGGTGGCTGAAAATGCTTACAGAAGGTACAGCAGGACCACTGCCCCAATGTACATTGGCTGTCACTATACCTGTCCTGGCAGCATGTGTGTGACAGCCTGCCCTTGCTTCCAGGTCTGGAGAGGGTAGCTGAGATTCCCCCATATGAAACAGCCACAGAAAATCCACTCATTTGGGCTCTGGATTATTTTCAGTGCCAACTTAAAAGACTCTTTGTTACTTTTTAATTACTCTTGAAAGTATTTTAATACTGAGGAGAAAATAGTTCCTCGCCTGGTGTTTAACCCCAGCACTGACATCAGGAGAGAGAATGACATCCATGTACCTCTGCTGTCTCCTTACATGCATGTTGGTCATGTAGGCCACAGGTCAGAAGGATATGTGTGTGACAGTGCAGTGGAATGGCAGCAGATGTTCAAGCAGGCACTTCAGCTGTCCTGCCTCATCTTCCCCAACAGCCCAGACTGGCTCTTCTGTCCCCTCCCTTGCACCTTGCCTGTATAATCAGTGTGCCTTTATGAAACTCCTACAGGCAAAAAATAACCCAGAAAAAAAAAAAGCAAATAATTTTGACCATAAAAATGACGAATAAATGTCAAAACTCTTGACATTAGGAAAATTACTGCATTATACTGTGAGTTTTTTTCAATGGCATGTCCTCTGACAATACATTTCCATTGCCAGTCTCAGTATGACAGCCTATCAAATCACTGCAGTTTTCTGACAACTTTTATCTCATTCCTGGTAGTTCAGGATTTTTTTAAGGTGTGGACAGAGGCATTGCCTGTTTTGTAGCTCTTACGGCACATCCAGCCCTTCTGGAAGGCACTGCCCTTCCAATGTGATTGTAGAACCTTCCTTGGGCATGGCTTTCAAGATGCTTTTATAAAATGTAAACTTGGGCTTTTATAAAGTGTAAACTTCGGATTTTTCTGCAACTTTTTTTAGGGCCTCAAGCATTTATGATACCACCTTCTTTGCAGTGAATTTTACATGAATGCTGCAAGGAATTTTTAATCTTTGTGGGAATGAGCTTGATGGCATCAGAGGCTGAAAGAGGAATTTTATCCTAGTCCTGAGGAATTTTTCCAGGCATGAATACAGTATACAGAACTATATTTCCTTGCTCTCTCTAGGAGTCAGTTACAGTTTTGTAAGATGACAAAACCCCACATTCTATTTCTTTTGTCTTTGTCAATCATGATTGAATTTTCTTTCTGTAGCAAAACAGATTTAAAAAAAAATTGAGAGAAAGATACTTCAGTTAGTGATTAATTAGTTTACCCTGTTTATCAAAATACCTTTTCCAGTTAGTTGATTTCTTCCCACTAAAATCATATGTAAAATAAACAGCAGCTTTGAGGATATCTGACAAAGTTTCTGTATTG